TTCAAGGTCAAAGGTCATAAGATCTCATGCAGTTGTTCCAAAATCTTTACCACTTGTCGTTTAAAAGTTTTAAAATTTTTTTTTATGCTTTAAAACTTTCAGGGGCAATAACTACTCGAAGGAGTTTAGGAATTCTTTCGCACTTCCCAGTTTGGAGAACAAACTAAATTAGTCGAAGACATTGGTGAAGCAGGCGTACCTCTACGGTTTACGGTTTCGGAGGAGTAGCGATAACAAGCATTTCTTGCGAAAGGGGCAATAACTTCGAAAGGGGTCATAGTTCATATGCGTTGGGTCAAATCTGTTCCTAACTTTTAATGGCCTTTACGATGAAGAAAAAGTCCCTTCGATAAATGTCGAAACAAAAAATCAGCGGAAGAAAAATAATGGGAATTTACAGAAGAAAAGCAATAAGTCTTTCCACAGAAAGGTGGAAAGACTTAATTAATCACTAGTAAGCTAATTGTTCAGAGAACAATAAGACGTCTTTCCACCTTTTTAAGTCTTTCCATGTCATTTGGGTTGAAAAAATGAAGAAAAACACCAGAAAAACGACAAAAATTCAAAAATTAAAAAAAAAAAAAAAAAAGTGCTTCTAGGAGGATTCGATCCAGGGACCTTCGGATTGGTAGTCGAGCGCTCTAACCACTAGACCACGGGTTCCGTTGAAAATCACTAGTATTATTGTCGAGTTAAAGTTACCGGGGTTTCATTGACCAGTCAAGAAGTTCCAGTTTATAAACTTCTGACAAGCTCCTGGATGTAAATGTGAGTTTGAAGGAGATTGTTTTCGAGTTAAAATGTAAGGGATATTGTCTGATTACAATTATAATATTGTTATTAACGGGTATACATGCATTTGAGGTTGCGTAGCAATTTATGTATTTGAAAAAGGCCGCTTTCGTTTTCACAGATGTAGTAAACTCATAGGTAAGATTTAATAATCATTTCTATTTGAATTGAATTAGTAGTCACCAGCATAAATTTAACTTGAAACATGCATCTCAGAAAAAAAAGTTGTCATTGAGAGCGTGGAAATTTATTTGACAGGAAAAATCGCTATTTTTCGAGATTCATTCCATAAATATTAAATCTAGATAAAATTGAAATAAATTCCACATACTAAAGAAAGCAAGAATATTTGGTATTAAAATGTTGTAGTAGAGCAGGAGAATCGAATGATATTAACAACAATCGAAAAAATAGCCAATACAAGCTTTAATTAATTTTTATACTCAGCAACTATTAAATTTCAGACAGAAAAAAATGTAGATTTTGCCGATATTCACTAGAATTTAATTGTACTTAAGAGACTCACCGTAAAACTCTCAGGGCACTTTCTTTGAGGTGTCTTGTACATGCTAAACTGGATTTTATGTTCATCTTTGGTTTCGTTTGGTTTGGTTACAACAGTTTTCTAGGCAGCTATTGATTTTTTTTTTTTAGAGAATGGGGGGGGGGGAGTATATAACATAAATATTAGTCTTTGTTAAAGTAAGAGTTGTAAACACCTCCACGTACTTAAGATTGATTGTGACCTTTGGGTTAAAGGTCAAGGTCAAAGGTCATGGTCATCCAAAAAAAAAACCCCACTTATAGAGTTGAACTTTACATTTGAAGCTCAATCTAGGCGAAGGTAATGAAGATATCTTTTTAACTTGTGAGAAAAGGTCAAGGTCAAAGGTCAAGGTCAAATTTAAAAGTCAAAGGTCAAGGTCATTTACAAGAAAAACCATATATAAGCAATTTTGATACTTTCCAAATGACCTTGACCTTTGACATTGACCTTATCTTCAAGGTCAAAGGTCGAAATCTCTCATGCATTGTCCGCATGTCTTTACAACTTGCCGCTAAAAATTTTTTAGTTCTTCGTAAACATCAGAAACTGTAAGGGGCAATTACTACTACAAATGGTTGACGAATCCTTTCGCAATGAATAGATTCAAGAGTCTACTAAATTAGTCGTAGACATTACTGAAGGTTTCGAACGTCTGCGGTTTACGGTTTCAGAAGAGTAGCGATAACAAGGGTTTACACTGAAAGGGGCATTAACTTTTAGAGGGGTCAATCTTAGGGGACAAGCTTGAAATCTCTGAAATGGTTTTAAGAGTACATATTAAAGATGCAAAGATGTTTAAAATTTGTTGAAGAACAAAGGAGCTACCCCCCAAAAATTAATTTTTTCATATTTTGAATGACCTTGACCTTTGACCTTGACCTACTTTTCAAGGTCAAAGGTCATAAGATCTCATGCAGTTGTTCCAAAATCTTTACCACTTGTCGTTTAAAAGTTTTAAAATTTTTTTTTATGCTTTAAAACTTTCAGGGGCAATAACTACTCAAAGGGGTTTAATAGGAATTCTTTAGCACTTCCCATTTTGGAGAACCAACTAAATTAGTCGAAGACATTGGTGAGGCACACATACCTCTACGGTTTACAGTTTCGGAGGAGTAGCGATAACAAGCATTTCTTGCGAAAGGGGCAATAACTTCGAAAGGGGTCATAGTTCATATGCGTTGGGTCAAATCTGTTCCTAACTTTTAATGGCCTTTACGATGAAGAAAAAGTCCCTTCGATAAATGTCGAAACAAAAAATCAGCGGAAGAAAAATAATGGGAATTTACAGAAGAAAAGCAATAAGTCTTTCCACAGAAAGGTGGAAAGACTTAAATACTAGTATGCATATTTCCACTCTGGACAAAAGAATTGGATAAAATTTAACTTAAATTTATAGCTAACCAAAAATAACAATTATATATATTAAATATCATTGTTCTTAAAACATGTTCAGAATACTATAGTACACAGTAAAATACATCTATAAGCAATCTTCGAAAAAATATCCTTGAAAAAGTAAACTTTAATCAGATTGCAAGATCTTTGTTTTCAATTCGTGAAAATCAGAAATATGGTAAATCGTTTTGAAGATGCATCTTCAAACTCATATTTTATCTTTTTTTTCAAATTATTGTGAAATAAAAAACGTATTGAAACCCTTTTTTTATCAGAATTACGTGGGCTTAAGCAAATTAGACAATTGCCGACGTGAGTAACCGCCATCTGGACGGCGTATGTGGCCCATCTACTCTCCAGAAAAAATTCAGTGATCATAAACAACACTTTTCTACTTTCATTTATACATTTAACTATCTCTTCTGCCTCCCAATCTCCTGGAATCGAATCTCTGTCCTTTAGCCTTATCTTGATATTTAAGCTTTCCGAGTGTGGGTAAAGATAACTCATACATGTAATCCAGGGATAGTCTTTCTCACCATATGACATAAACACATCATAAATTTAGTTGTTTTCTTTGTTTTTTAAATGTACACCCTTCCACCTGTTTCTGAGCCGCATTATAACATATTCTACATGAATAGGGTATTTTCGTAAAGCAGCTACTATCAGAAGTACAGACAAACTAATCAAAATCAACACCACAGAGAAAATAAGCCATTATTTAGTTTGGCATTGTTTATCGAATTTTATCCAGATTTGTTCATTATAAAAAAAGTGGTTTAAAGGTACTCGGTTCCCTGCGCATAGCGTTTTATCAATATCAGAAAGTACATAATTACGGCTCCTCATCCATCGCAAAGACTGAATAGCTAAACAGGTACAAGAGATCGGATTTCCTTCTATGTAAATTGATACATTTCCAAGAGTTTCGATGATTCTTTGGTTATTTTTTGAGAGCCCAAATATCATATTATATCTAGAATACAGAGACATTAAAGTCAGCATATATTTGAAAGAGTCAGGAATGTTAGAAAATGTATTATTGTCTAGGTTTATTTTTATCAAAGGATGATTTTGATCTTTCAAAAGAGAGAAAGGTGTATTATTTAATTTTGTCAAGATTGTAGCACTCATAGAAAACACATCTGAACCGTATAGTGGTTTATTTTAAACTCAACAAGTATATAACATAACGTTAAAGTAACGTCTATGACGTCATCATACTATGACGTCATAGTTCGGTAAATGTCATTAAATTGCATTGAAAGGTAATTTAGAAAGGTATTACTGTCTATGATTCATAACATTCTCCGGCCCACAAAAGTATAATAAGAAAGTCTTTGGACTGAAAAAATAAAACGCGGTTTTTAGCTAAAGATGCATTGAATTTCCTTTAAAAAAGTTATTTACAATATCATCTCAAAAAATTAGATTATTTCACTTAGAATGACTAGAAATCTGTGTAATAGCTTTCAGTTTCGCGTCACGATCCTTTGTAGGTATTGAAGGTTCGTTATCGTCTCCAGAATTTAATTCTAACGGATACAGTTTTGTAATTGGCCTAGAAGTTATACCATTTCTGGTCTTTAATATAACAGATCTTATAAGTCCATCTTGGCCGGAAATGAGCTCCTCAATCTTTGCCAGTTTCCACTAATTTCTTGGGTTGAATTCATCAAAAATTTGAACGATGTCTCCGGTCTGGATATTTTGTTTGCTTTCTCCATGGCTGCAATGATATTCTCTTAAGGATGTTAAGTATTCCTTTCTCCAGCGTTGCCAAAAGTGTTGAATGACTTTTTGTTGAATGTTGTAAGTTTCGTTCGCAGATACATGGTTCAAATCAGTTGTTACATTTTCTTCACTGGAACTCCCAGGATAAGGTAATGACTTGATTTTCCTTCCATATAGTAGATGAGAGGGTGTTAGGGGATCTTCGTCTAATGGGTCGGCTGATGCATAGGTCAAAGGACGGCCATTCAGAATGCATTCATTTTCTACGATGATTGTGTTCAGGACATCTTAATTTACAAAGGATCGTCCCAGTACTTTCCTTAGGCAGTTCTTTGTAAGTCCTTTTAGTTGTTCCCAGAAGCCTCCGTACCAGGGTGCTCTCTTAGGTATGAATTTCCATCTTGAACCATGGGTGTTTAAGGTTTCTTGAAGACTGTGTGAAGATGTTAACTTTTTGATTTCCTTAGAAGAAGCAACATATGTGGTTGCGTTGTCAGATATCATAATTTTTGGAAGTGATTCAAAAGGCTCAAATGAATTGTTCTTCAGTGAGGTCCGTTACCAATTCCAGGTGGACAGCTCTTGTACTAGCACAAGTGAAAAGACATATGTATACTTTGCCTTCATGTCCATTCTTTTTTCGTACCTTCAGGGCACCAGTGAAATCCACACCTGTTACAGTAAAAGGAGGTTCTTCTCTCAATCTGTCTTTAGGTAACGGTGGTGCTTCTGGAATAGGATAAGGTTTTCCCATGATTTTTCTACATGTAATGCATTTTCGCAATACAGATTTTACACTCTGGCGAATTCTTTGTATCCAGTAATTCTGTCTCAACAATGTGACTGTACTATTGACTCCTGAGTGCAAATTTCTTCTATGTGCATCTAAAACAATCAAAGTGGTCAGTGGATCTTTGGTTGCTAGGAGTATTGGATGCTTTGCTGTTTTGCTGATTGGTGCATTGTGTATTCTCCCTCCACATCTGATCAGATCCTCATTTGTTAAGTATAATTTCAGCTGTTTTGATAGACAATGTTTAGATTTTCCATCTTTTTGTGATTCTGCAAAAATATCTGGATAGTTTTCTTGTTGAGCATTTTTAATCCACATCAGTGAGCTGTGTTCAATTTCTGAGACAGTCAGTGGACCTGTAACTTTCTGTTCTTTGGAACAATTTTGTATGAATCTTAGAACATAGGAAGTAACATTCAACAATTTTCTGTAATTGTTAAACTTCGAGATGTCAATAATTTCTGAAATTCTTTGTTCTCTGGGATCAGGCTGTACATTTCTCTTTTCTTGTGAGTCCTCCTCCTGGTATCCACATTTCTCAGATTCTGTTATGTTTGCAAGAATATGACTTTCGGTTTTGTCATATATGGGCCACATGTTTTTGTCAGTAATCCAAGTTGGTCCTTTTGACCACAATTCGTTCTTCCTAAATTTGTCAAAGTCAGCACCGCGAGATAAAATATCAGCAGGATTTGAGGCTGTTGGACAGTACCTCCATTTGTACTGTTCAGTTAACTTCTTAATTTTTTGTATTCTGTTTCTCACAAATGTGCCTAAAGTTTTTGTTGTTTCCAACCAGCTCAGGACAATTTGACTGTCTGTCCACAAGACTGCATCTGAGAATTGGATGTTTTTCTTGATGAATTCTAATAATCTCGCTCTAAGTAGTGCTCCCATCAATTCCAGTTTAGGTATTGTAAGTGTTTTTAATGGGGCAACTCTGTTTTTGGCCATAATTAGTGAACTTTGGTCTCCTGAAACAATGTATGCACATGCTCCGTAGGCCTTCATGCTTGCATCACTGAATATGTGTACAGTCGTTTCTGATGGGTTTTCACGGATACACATACGGGGTATTTCCAGGGAGGTAGCATTTTCTGTGTTCTGTGCAATTTCAATCCACTTGTCAGCTAGTTCCTTTGGCAGTTTTTGATCCCATTCAAGGTTCTTTTTCCACAACTCTTGAATAAACATCTTCGCCTTGACTGTTATCGGACTGATATATCCTAAAGGATCATATATTTTTGAAGATTGTTTTAGCACTTCTCTCTTTGTCAAACTGTTTCTTCCTGTGTTGGCTATTTCTTGTTTTTGCAAAGGTTAGAATATCCTCTTTGACGTTCCATTTCATTCCTAGTACTTTGACGACACTGTCCTTGTCAAATACTCCATCCTTCTTAGCATGCTCTTGTAGGAGTTCACTGTTGGATCCCCATGATCGAAGGTTAAATCCAGCTTTGGCAAACAAAGTGCGAGAGCAGTTGTAGAATGAAATTAATTCATTTTCTGTTGGAAAACTGGAAATAATGTTGTCAACATAAAGATTTTCTGTTAACTTCTGTGTCCATGTTGATGCGTTCTCCTTTAAATGCTTCATCAGAACAGCATTCAAAATGAATGGGGAACAAGTAGCTCCGAATAAAATAGATTTAAATCTGTAGTCCACTAACGTTCCGTTAGGATTTGTAGGTTCATCAAACCAGAAGAATCTCGTAACGTCTCGGTCTTCCTCTTCTAATCCTACATTTAAAAATGCTTTTTCTATGTCTGTTGTCACTGCATATCCATTGAGACGAAATCTCAGTAATTGAAGCAATATCATTCAGTTGTGGTGGGATGTTCATCAAACAATCATTCAGAGATGCAGCAGTAGGTGTTTCCTGACAGCTACAATCGTATACTATCCTTACAGGAGTTGTAGCTGAATCCTTCTTTACTGGAAAATGCGGTATGAAGTGAACTTTACGATTTGTTGGAAGTTCGCTGTCTATCTTCTCTATGAATCCACGTTTTTCCTGTTCAGCAACTATTTCCCCATATTTGATCAGCATTTCCGGTTCCAGTTTGAGGCGATTTATAACACCGACTGTTCTACGGGAAGCTTTATTTTTGTTTAAGGGCAATGCAGGATGGTCCTCTTTCCATGGAAGCTTTACATGATTACACCGATTGCCTTGAAATCGTATGGAATCCTTCTCATATGACAGCTGAAAATTCTGATTACTTGATTCCTCATACTCTTTCTCAGTTCCAATTGCCTCAATCTGCCAAAACTTCTCAATATTGTGTTCCTCCATTTTGTGTGACACCATAACATTCATCATTGATGTGTTGTATTCAAGTACATGGGATTGTGATCCATATAATGGTCCAGAAAGTAAATATCCAAGTTTAGATTTGATGGCGGTTGGACCCTTTCCTCTAATTATCTTATCCTCCACCAAATTCCAGTACTGATCTGCTCCAATAAGTAATTCAATTTGGAATGCCTCCTCTTGTGCAACAGGATGTGCCAATCTCAAATTCCTCAAATACGATAATTTTGCTGCATTTTCTACATGCGTTTTAATTGGAGCTGCTATCTCTGGGACCACTAAGACTTTGACAGGTATATCTTCTCTCTGTATAGTTTGGACCTTGACTACAGCTGTCTGTAACTTTTGAACTCCTTTCTCTTTTCCTGATTCTCCAAATCCAAGAATGTTGATATTCTCATATCCTGTTGGTGTTAATTCTATCTTGTCAGCCAAACTCCTAGAGATAAATGATCTTTGAGCTCCTTCATCAAACAGAATATAAGCATCAGTTGTCATTTTTCCAGATGTGACAGGTGCAACTGCAGTTTGTAACAAAACGTTTGGTTGATCTCTATGTGAAGATGAATGCATCACTGACGTTTCTGCTCTTTCTGTATTTTTTGCTTGAAGTGAAGGGATACTCTCCTTGTTGCTTTTGACTACCTCGCGATTTGAACACAAACTTGTGTGATGTCGTTTTTTGCAGATTTTACAATTTGATTTGGATTGACAGTCTGTAACACGATGTCGACCCAAACAGTTAAAGCATAACTTGTCTCGTTTGACAATTCTCATGCGGTCAGTGCAGTTTTTGAACTTTTCACAATCATTTGAATAATGCGTCTCCTTACAATATGCACAGCATACCTGGGGTTTCCTCGGACTGAAGTTGTGTTGAACTTGCTTATGACTGGCCTTTGAATGGGTATAAAAAGTTGATGTTGCGCTTGGTTCTGTTGCATCAATACCTGCTCCAGCTTCTAATATTTCGAGTTCCCTGTAAAGACTGTTTCTCAAATCACCTAATAACCAATCAGTAGAACCATGTTCACGAGCCAAATTCTTGCGTATTTCAGTAGGTAATTTGTTCAGAATGACAGGTACTAGAAGGGAACCATATGTATCTTGAGCTTGTCCGTAGGATTCTAAACCTCTGACGTATGTCTCAACTTGGTCATGAAAATGACGCAGGCTTGTGAGATTATTCTTGGGAGTGGGTAGGTCCAAGAGCGCTTGCATGTAAGACTGAGTTATCTTGTGTTTTTGTCCAAACCTTTCATGTAGAAGCTCAATCGTTCTGTTGTAGTTTGCATGTGTGAGTGCAAATCCTGAAATGGTGTTCGATGCCTCTTCTGCTACTAAAGACTTTAAGTAATTAAACTTTTGAACTTCTGTCAATGTGTTGTTGCTATGAATCCCAGAATGACTGCCACTCCAACACATTTCCCTAAAAAATGGGTAAGTTTAATTTCGAAAGTTTGTGAAAGTTACCACTGTTTGGATTTGAATGAAAGCTTGTAAGGGACTGATGAGTTCTTGAATTTTCACTGAAATTGTGTCGTGATTGACTATTCTCTTCAATTTGTGAATTTTCATTCTGGTTTGAATAAATGTTGGCTGCTGGATTCAAATTTGAACGATGAACTATCAGATGTTTCTTAAATTTTCTCATTTTAGAATTAAGATTGAAATTGTACTCATCTGTTTACAGTATTTCTCTCTCAATATCCTCCTCTGCTGTTTCTGTTAGAATTTTTTCATCCAGATCTCTGAGAATTTCTTGTTTGTCCGTCAATGTCTCCAAAATAGCCTCAATTTCTTCTGCATCTGCATTTTCTTCGTCCAGTCTTTTTAGAAGTCTGGTTACAGCACTTCTCTGTCCTGCTCTTACTGCCTTCAGTTTAGAAGTCATCTCTCCTCTTTCGTCACGGCACAATGTCAAGATTGTAGCACTCATAGAAAACACATCTGAACCGTATAGTGGTTTATTTGAAACTCAACAAGTATATAACATAACGTTATAGTAACGTCTATGACGTCATCATACTATGACGTCATAGTTCGGTAAATGTCATTTATATAATTGCATTGAAAGGTAATTTAGAAAGGTATTACTGTCTATAATTCATAACAAATTTGTTTCTTGAAAAATTGATTGAAGATGTGATATCTCATTGAAATCTAGATTCATGCCAATTGCATACAAGTCCCAAATTCCCTGAGAATGCTGAAATAAATCTGGTTGTACTTTTTCAAAACTATTTCCAGATATGTTAAGAATATTTAATGATGGCAAATTAAATTGGTCAACGTATGCCAGTGGGAACTTTGTATCTTGGATGTACAATTCTTGTAATCTTTCCCCATTAAATTTAAAACTAGGTGTCCATCTTTTGACATTATGTAAATAGTTTTCCGAAAAATCAAGTTCTTCCAGATTTTTTGACAGTGTTATATCAATAGAAATTTTTGTTCTATGATACGGATAGACATTCTGGTTTTCATTGGTTTTGGGATTAGTGCAGCATAGATTCATATTCTTCATGTTCGGCGCTGTAAACAGAGAATTTATGATTGATATATCCACATCAAACAGATGATTTCCACTAACATCCATATACTGTTGATAATTCCATAAAATTGTATTGGAAATATTATTTTTTATAGAGTAAATGGCGTTCTGTCGTAACGATAGGGCACGGACACATATATTGATAAGATATTCCGACAACCAAAACTATGATACTGTTTTCAATATATTTCCTGTTTTCATAGATAAAAATTCCACCAATATTGCGATGCTGGAAACATTTTAGAGAGCGCAAGGCCGGAGTCATGTCAAATTTTCCACCAAAGTCAATTGTTACCTCTTCTGTTAGATATGGAAAGGAACAAAATAGATCTTCGGTAACGTCACAAAACACGTGATTTTTAAAAAGCATATTAAGATGATTAATTTTGGAGCGCCAAAGTCCTAAAAAGGAGGCATTTGTTAAACTGAAATCATTTAAAATATGAAACTGTAATTCAGATAAGTTTGTTAAGTTTTCAAACGGTGGTGTGAATGAAAATCCGCTGAAAATGTCGATATGAAGACTGGACAATGACCGAATTGCAGAAAGAGCAATGTCCGGGTATCCATCTGACTGAAAATTATTTCGATCAATTCGAAGGTACTTCAGATTGTGTAAATAGTAGAAAGCTTCAACTTCTATTCCGTTTTTATGAAGCTCACAACTTGAAAGATCTAGACTGCTGAAGGCTTTGTTTTCGATTTTTGTAATTTTGTTATGACTCGGGATAATAGATGTCACAACTGATACCGCGGCCAGATTTTCAAAGAATTGTTCTGTTAAAGTAAAAAATTTATTAAATGACAAATCCAAAGTCACGTTGCGATTAATTAACTCCTGTGGTATGTTTTCTTGTAGTCTGGCTATATTGAGGCCACTACAATTCCATAGAATCCCAAAGTTTCTGTATTCATCTGTGTAAGGAACCGTTGGACAAGGGTATGAAAAGATAACCAGGTTACTAACTGTTAATAAAGAATGGTTCAGATACCCCAGTATCACTCAGTTTATTTTTATGGAGATAAAAATTTACATTTAGTAGTAATTTGAAAACTTGTCTAAACTTTTCTTTATTTGTTTTTATTAACTGTATATTGACAGCTTTACGTTTCGCATTACATTTTAATCTCTGCATCTTTAAAGCGGCAATACGGCTGCAAATCGTGTGCTTTTTCATTCAAATTTACCCAATATGTCATTCAAGAATAAGGTAAAAAGCTGAAGTAAATATCTGAGAAAAATAAATATTCTCGCCTCATGTAAAATTAACGTAATTAAAATCTGCCGGAAAATCAAGGGTCATACAACTTAGTTCTGTTTATTTGACCACGTGAATTCTAAAATGGCACGTGCATACAATGTAGGGTTTACAATTATAATGGAATATTAAGTAAAAGCAATTCTGAGAATCAAAATATCTTAACGCCCCGGTAAATAATAGTAGTAACATTTTAGTCTGCATTCAGGCAAATTTAACATGATTAAATACAAATGTTGACGTTTTGTGTATTGGGGTACAGGAAAGGAAAATCCTCCAAATCATACGTCATCGCGGCAAAATGTCAAACAAAATATCTTTCTGCAGTTCCAATACAATTTGCACTTCAAATGGCAATAATTTTTATGTCATAAGTGCATTTCTACGTTGAGTTTATACTTATTTTTTTCTTTGAAAGCCATGGAGATACGAGAAATGATAGCATGTATCAACAAATCTGTAGGATAGAACCTTCGCGAGCCCCACGTGAATTTCGCCGAGATCCCGTTTCTTCTTCATCCAATGATTATATTAATCCCACCACTAACTTTTTGTCAGGAAAGTTGCTTTTTAATTGCAAGCCCTATTTTTGGTTTTGTTTTTCGTTTTGGTCGACTTTGTCAATGCATATCAGGCCTACCTGGCTTCCCTCTCTTACCATGCTGTTTTGTTTATGAAAACTATACGCATGCGTGAATAGCATGGAATGTGAAACCTCGAAAACTTTGCGATGTATATATTTATGGACCATAAATAATTATTAATTTTGATGAAATTATCAGAATTATTTACTTATGCAATTTGTAATTTTCTGAAAGTGTATACGTTTATGAGTATGAAAAAATTCCAAATTCAATAGGAAAATTTAACTAGTCCGTTTTTGAAGAGAAGCACCGTATTGTCACTTTAAATAGCAAAGCAAGAAGGGAAGAGTGAAGTGTTTATGTTCTAGTTATAAAACTTTAAAGAAATTCTGCGTTTTAGAATAATTT